CCTGACAGTGAGGACAATTAATCAGTGGAACAGCTTGCCTCCAGAAATCGTGGGCGCTCCATCACTGGAGATTTTCAAGAAGAGGCTTGTCTGAGATGGTGTAGGTTCTCCTGCTTGAGCAGGGGTTGGACTAGAAGACTTCCAAGGTTCTATTCTATTCTATTCTATTCTATTCTATTCTATTCTATTCTATTCTATTCTATTCTATTCTATTCTATTCTATTCTCAACAGATTTAATCTTGAATGTAACGAATCATATAGCTCAGTCTTTTAACTGAGTCTATAAAGGCATAATTTAAAATCTGAACGCAAATACATTTTTTCAATCTGCAAAGTTACATCTAGGCTGTAGTTTCATTCTAGCTACACATTACTATCTTTACTCTTACCCAGTTCTCTTAAACTGAGAAATTCCAAATTTTGGTACACAAGTTTACGTTCTTAAATATTAATTTTCTTCTCCATATCTTATTTATAAGAATACACATATTAAGTCAGGATGGGACAATAAAAGTGTAGTTTCAAATCGTGTGTTAAATGCCCTTCAATTTATTCTATCTCCAGTATAAAAGTCTGATCACCAGCCTTTTTTAAACTTCTACTGGGATGTCCAATAAATATGAAACAGCATTTTTAATTAACTAATCACATTTTAAGATTGTAAGACAAATATCTAATGTTTTTTAAACATTTAAGGCCAGTGATTTTATGTAAGAGATTATTTCATTTTTTTTTGTAAATTCTCATTAGATTTGATCTTATTAATAGTCTTCACTTGTTATGTAGCTAGAGTCTGCCAAAATCTTTCCATTTTTTTTATGTTTTGTTGGCTGCTACCATATTAGATCAAAACTATAGGATCAGCAAATGCTTTCATTTACTGTACTAGTTTTTTGATAATTCAAATTATTTATGTAGTGACTCAAAAGCTTTAAGAAACTTTAATATTCATGGATTCTTTTTTTTGCCAAAATTCTGTAAAAAGCGACATAGAATAAAAAAAACCTTACAAGGTTTTAATTAGACTTAACCTATAGAATAATTTTCTCATGGAAGCCAGATAAAACTTAAGCCTTTGTCCCCAAATTTTCCAAATATTTATGCTGTTTTTAAAGTAAGAAAAATAATTGAGTGTTGAATAAAATGAGAAGCACTTGCCAGGTGTTCAAAGGAATCAAATAATAACTTCCTGATGTTCCCATAATGGTTTACATTCAGTATTATTAACATTCTATATTAAAAAAGGATATAAGCTCAATATTATGAATAGAAATGTGGGAAAGTAACCTGTCATTTTCATAATATAATCTAAGTTTAGAAAAAGAAAAGAAAAAACTCTGGGTATATCGCTGTTCCATTAAAAAAATATCCTCAATATTTTTCAATCTGTTTAAAATATCTAAAAGGAATTCCTCTTAAAGTATAAATCAGTCTAAAAGTAGTATTCATTCTTACAGCAGTTATTCTCCTCCATAATCTCATAAGAATTTTCAATCATCTCATATGGTATTTGAGGAATAATCTTTGTTATGCAGTTTAAAATATTTAATTCTGCTAACAAAGATGTCTTTCTGGGAATACTTATTCCAAGGTACTGAACAAGACTTGGAGCCACAGACAAATAATAATAATAATAATAATAATAGTCTGGATAGTGGACGTGGCAGTGCCTGGAGACAGCAAAATAGACGAGAAAGAACTGAAGAAGATAACAAAATACAAAGACCTACAAATAGAAATAGAAAGACTGTGGCAAAAGCAAGCAAGGGTAGTACCAATAGTCATAGGCTCCTTGGGTGCAATCCCAAAACAACTGGAGCACCACTTGAACACCATTGGCATTGACAAATTCGCTATTAGTCAATTGCAAAAGGCGGCCTTATTAGGAACTGCTTCCATCCTGCGACGATACCTGTAATACCATCAAACATCCACATCTGCCTATCCCAGGTCCTGGGTAAGGACTCGATAGATAGACAAAATGCCAAATCCAGTCTGAACATCTGGCTGACTGTGCGATGATCCATAATAATAATTGGAAGGGACCTTGGAGATCATTTAGTCCAGTGGTTCTCAACCTGTGGGTCAGGACCCCATTTGGGGTTGAACGACCATTTCACGGGGGTCACCAAACAACGCAGTCCACCATTTTTTTCCCCTTTTCCTTAGCTGTGCTACTGCCTTTTATTCTATTGGCTTTCAAAAGCCAATAGGAATTGTTCAGGCTGTCTCTGCCCTGCTGAGCCCGCCAAAAGTCCCATTCTGCAAACGGTGCTGCAAGTTGTCTGCAGCGAAGGTGAGCTGTCTGGAAGTTTCCACCCCTCCCTGCTGAGCAACTACTAAAAATGTAAGTAAAAGAGGGCCAGGGGTAGGAGGTGGTAGGCTGATGGGCACAGGGAGGGTTGCTGGCGCGCGTAGGGCCCGGCAGTTACCTTACCTCCCTTGGGCTGGGCCAGCTGGTGGCCCAGCCGGTGGTCAGCCTGTGCCATCTCTGCCGCTTGCCAGCTACGCCTCGGCCGGCGCAGGGGGTGGCACCACGCATGCGTGGTGCTTCCGGGCAGGGAAAGTCCTCAACTTACGACAGGTTGGGTAGTCCTCGACTTACGACCGGTTGGGTAGTCCTCGACTTACAACCGGTTGGGGTCGCGGCATTAAAAAGTTTGAGAACCACTGATCTAGTCCAACCCCCTTCTTAGGCAGGAAACCCTATACCATTTCGGACAAATGGCTGTCCGGTCTCTTCTTAAAAACTTCCAATGTTGGAGCGTTCACTGCTTCTGGAGGCAGGTTGTTCCACTGGTTAATTGTTCTAACTGTCAGGAAATATACATTTCCATAGATACCATATGACTGAAAGAGAAGTGTATAGTTAATATTACAAGTTTTAGTAAAGGTTCTTGATAATTATAATAATATCATTTGCCTACAATTGCAGGTTATTTGTTAAATTCTAACCACCTTGACACCTGAACTTTCCTTGAATTATCTAATACTATAGGACAATAGCTGTAAAACCATATCAAATATAAGAGAAAATAAATCTTGATACAGTTTGAAGATATATCCTAATAGGTGAAGGAATAACACTAACATAATGATCTTAGCTGAGAGAATAAAATATTACTTTCTGATCCAATCGAGTAGAAACATTTGATCTACATTTTAATAAAGGATTTTTCAGCATCTACAGAAACCACTACAACTAGGTAAGATTTTCAGATTCAATTTCTAAAACATCTACTAATTCTCTGATATTATCAGAATCTTGCCCTGTGCTTCCCTTTATGCAATAGAAAGAACTATATTCTACAAACTGTGCTAATGTTCCTGTGAGAATTTCAGTATCTACATTTAACAAGGATAACGGACCATAATTTGTTATTACCCAGTTTTAATTCTATTGTTTACTAAGGTTCATAAAACAGAAAGGGAAAAGTTCCTTGCACATAAGTCAAATACCTGTTATATAGGATCAAAAATTTATATAAACAACTTCTAAATCCATCTGGACCACTATCTTTTCCTTCCCCCCCCCCCTCTGTTATTTATTTTTTTATCATTCACATTTTTTATGAACTAAAGTATGATTAAATAGCCCCATCTCCTTTGGATTCACCTGATGGGATGATAAATGTTTCCTGAAGTTATGTTTGCCTAGATTCAGATTATACTGCCCCTATTCTAGCAGCAATGCAATCTATACCTGCAGAGAAACCTGTAGCCAACCCTCCTAGAATTAATTAATTAAACAATGGTTTGCAAGCATTGTCCGCATACATAAATAAAGGGAAAAAGAATGACCCTGCCAACTGTAGAACTACCGGCCTCCTTAACAGGATCAGTAAATTCTATGCCAGACACCTATAACTTAAATTCCTGGACTGGAAGGAACACAAAACATACTTGCAGAGAAGCAAGCTGGCTTTAGGGAAGATCAGTCTAGGGAAGTCATCCTCTGATGGTTGCAGTGTCCCAGGCTCATGTGATCAACTTTTGCGACCTTCTGACAATCAAAGTCAATGGGGAATCCCAATTCACTTAACAACCATGTTTCTAACTTAACAACTGCAGTGATTCACCTGACAACTGTGGCAAGAAAGGTGGTAAAATGGGGCAAAATTCACTTAACAAATGTCTCACTTAGCAACAGAAATTTTGGGCTCAATTTTGATTGTAAGTTGAGGACTACCTATACCAGTGGTTCTCAACCTTTTTAATGCCGCGACCCCCAACCGGTCATAAGTCGAGGACTACTCAACTGGTCGTAAGTCAAGGACTACTCAACTGGTGCAGCACCGTTTGCAGAATGGGACTTTTGGCGGGCTCAGCAGGGCAGAGACAGCCTGTACAATTCCTATTGGCTTTTGAAAGCCAATAGAATTAGACTATATTCAAGAGAGTCTATTCTATTGGCTTTCAAAAGCCAATAGAATAAAAGGGAGTAGCACAGCTAAGGAAAAGGGGGAAAAAATGGTGGACTGCGTTGTTTGGCGAACCCCGTGAAATGGTCATTTGACCCCAAATGGAGTCCTGACCCACAGGTTGAGAACCAGTGACCTATACTTTCAAGAACACCTATTGGCCTTTAAAGAGTATTGCAGGGAAGACCTGTTATTACTCAACTATCAAAAAAAAAAAAAAATCATGGGATTTGTCAAAAGATCTATTCCTGGATGATAGATGAGCTGGTCTTACACAAATAATGGAAAATAAGCAAACCAATATCAGAAGGTTTCATAACCAAATCTATCGACTGAAATCACTCCCTATAAAAGATAGTCTTACAATTCCATCCCTGTGGAAATTACTAGCAGTTGCTTGAATATCTTCATATTTCAGAGCCATTGTTGTGACAGAATCTGGTATGATTTATACAGCTTGTGGCTTTCATATTTTCACTATTTTTGTCCATCCTCACTGTTGAAATATGGCAAACTTTGGTTGGACTTCGAAAATGGTTAATGCCTGTAATAGGCTCCTCCTCCTCTTGTCTCCCAAGATTATTCTCTCAGACCATTGCAAAATCTCTGTGAAGCAATCCTGCCTGCCTGGAATAATATGAGGGATTTAAAATATCATCATCCTCATCATCCTCATCCACCACCACCACCACCACCACCACAACAACAACAACAACAACAGGAACAACAACATGGTAGGATAATTTTTCATTTAGGAGAAAGGTCTTGGTGGGGTTTCTTTACACTATAGCCAGTGTTTGATAATGTTGATTGTTGAAAGTTATTCCAATGTCATTTCACACATAGTTTTTTTAAATGGCTAATGCAGCATTGAAAAAAGTAATGACATGATCAAAACTCAGGGCACTTGGCAACTAGCATGTACTTATGATGTCTTGCAGCTTCCTGGGGTCATGTGATTGCTATTTGTGACCTTCCCAGCCAATTTCTGACAAGCAAAGTCAATGGGGGAAGTCAGATTCACTTAACAACCACATGATTCATTTAGCAACTGCAGTGATTCACTTAATAAGCATGGCAAAAAAGGTCATAAGATCAGATGCAAATCACTTAATAACTGCTTTGGAAATTCTGGTCCCAATTGTGGTTGTAAGTGGATGACTATATATGTAAAAACACAATCTAAAATGACAAAGTCATTTAGCAAGGAGTATAGGTGGCCATGGAATGCTGCAAAAGCACCAGACAATTGAAGAAGAAAAAGGGAAATTGGAAATTATCTGAAGGACAATGAAGATTTACTGAATACTAAAGAGACCAAATTCACCTATAATAAGGACTAAATAAAGAGCAGAAAAGAGACATGACCAGACAAAAATAATACATACTGAGTATTAAAACCAGCAGGCAAAGCAATTAACAACAAGACCTGACAATGGCTAAGAACAGGAATATTGAAGAAAAAGACAGAAGGGCTAATTCTGGCTGCACAAGACCAAGCCTTAGGAACAAAATGCATTAAAAACCAGAAGTGGGAAGACAGAATCAGAAAGCAAATTCTTGAAAAAGAGGCTGAAAAAAGGGTGGACCTTCCAGACAGTTTATAAACAATGGCATGACAAACAATGGTTCATTGGAATATCTGCAAGAAATACCACTTGTATGCAGGCAAGAACTAGTGGGACCACAAAATAGATAAAATATTAAAAAGTGAAGAAGCTAAAGTGCTCTGGGATTTTAAAATTCGAACAGACAAGGTCTGCCATATAATACCCCTGATTTAATAATTGTTGATAAAAAAAGACAAAAAAAATCTAGATAATGGATGTAGTACCTGGAGACAGCAGAACAGAAGAGGAAGCAAAATATAAAACCTGCAAATAAAATGACTGGGGCAAAAGAAAGCAAATATAGTGACAATAGATGCATTTGGGGGTGTAAACCTCAAACATCTGGAACACCACTTGAACTCCATTGGCACTGACAAAATCACCATCAGTCAATTGCAAAAGGTAGCTTTATTTGAAACAGCTTGCATCCTGTGATGATATCTTTAACAGCATCAGACAACAACATCTGCCTATCCCAGGTCCTTGGGAAGGACTCAGTAGATGGATAAAAATGCCAAATCCATTCTAAACATCTGGCTGACTGTACAATGAACTATAATGGCTATATAGTTACCTCAGAGTGGTGTGACTGTTGAACTGTAACTTCACCTCTGATCTAAGAAAAAATGGTGCCCAAAAGGTTGGGGACCTCTGGCCTAGAATATCAACAACATGGATTTGGTATTAAACCAAAAGTTACAAATGCAACATGAATACATATAGCTGTAGGGAAGATTTTTTTCCCTGGGATTAAAACCTACCTAATGTCTTATACCAGTATCATTCCATTTCATACTGCCAATTTTTGCAAGGTAATATCATTGTCATATATAAAATAGTTTCCCTCTAGTCTCAGGCAAGGAGAAAATTTGATTTTCCTGAAGTAATTCTGGACTGGGTAAATAATCAGTTATAATATGAATGCATTAAATATTTAATAGCTAAAGTCACATTTTACATGAATTGGGATTTTTGGAAGGATCTAATAACAGTACATACAACTGAAAATTATTGAAAACAAATTGATTTTTTTAAAAAAATGTTACTACCTAGAACTTATCCAAGAGCAATAGTTAAAACAGCTGATAGTCTTATGCTGTGCTAAGGGGAAAAATTTTTTTTCTGACAAAGAATGGTTTCTTTTTATTTTTCACAGAGATGTCTTTCTAATTCAATTCATTTTTGGATACCATAGCAACTGTGGAGTAGCTGATGTTGATGGGAAATATGCTCAGGAAAGGTGGAAATTTGCTGTCTTTCTTGAGTTGCTCCAACTGAAATATGTAGCTTTTTTCTCTTGAATGAGAGGTAAGTGCAAATTCAGGTGTGCAAACGGCATGGAATCCAAAAGGAAATCTGGTATCATTCAATAGAAATTATATGTTCATAAGATGGCTCTATTAAGAAATTACAAATTATTATTTATTAATTTTTATTTAATTATTAGTTTTTATTATTGCTATTTAAATATTTGCCAGTTTAGTTCCAAAAAAGCTTTGTAAGGAAATAGGTTCCATTTATTTGCATATAACAACAACAGTATCATAATTCTACACCAGTAACATAGCCATTACTTTATTTTTATAACAGGTACAACATAAATACCATTTCTAAAAGTGATCTTGTGAGTGAAAATATAATGTAAGAAAACTGGGTATTATTTTCTTCATGTTCTTCCCCAACCTTTGTGACTTGGTGGTATGACTAGAGGGGAGAGAGGGAAACCGGGCTGTATGAGTGATGGGTTGACACGCATGCACATGCACACACAACTCGACTACAACATAGCTATGTGTGTGTGTTGGCCTGCAGCCTGGTTGCAAATAGGCCATGGCCTGGTAGTGGGCTGTGGCCCAGGTGTTGGGGACTCCTGGTGTAGATTATGCAATATCTCATGAAGAATATGAATTTAAGATTTGTATTTTTCTGTTTAACTTAGGCACCGTGACTTACAATGAATCTTCAAAAACAGATGAGCAAGATACTTGTGGAAGAGCAAGTAGTAAGAAGAAAGCCCAGCACTGCAAAATCACACAAAATACTCTCCTAGCAAAGGTTCAGGATGAAAAGGGCAGTTTCTGTTCCAAACTTAAATTTGAAATTCAAGTGAAATGGATCTAGAAAATAATTTTCATCCAAGAATGATGGAATTGGTGAGTGACAACCTGCTTAAACATTTGTTTCTGGAGGGAATGCCCAACCGGCCTATTTGTTCTGGCCTGATTTTTGGGCCAGGGAAGATGGTAAAGGATTGGTGAAGAGCATGGCAGCGACCAATATCTTCTCTTGTTCTGTGGTAGAGCCGAGAAGATGATGTGTCACCAAAGACCTCATTGGCTATCTCGATGGATGGTATCTACGCTGCTATTCTCTGGCATTGAAACAGGGATCCAGTACTTGTATTTGCAGCCCAAAAGCAGTTCTGTCTTCTAGGTTGGAACTTTCTCCCTTCACCCCAAAGAATGACATTTTTACAGGTGCCAGAATGACTTTCTCCTCAAGGAAGAATTTATAAATGCCTGAGCAGAACTAGGCAATTCCTCTGCAGTATAACAAATTAAGACAGACGAAGTTCAAGTAAGCAGATGGCTGTCTGAATCTCTCCAACTAATCTGTGTGATCATCCCAGTCCCTGTGATTGTTATAAACCATTCTAATAGTTAAGCAGGATAAAAATTGAGGGGTATGTTGATATACCCTTGTATTTAATTACATTAAACCTTGTGTGTTACTTTAACAAACTTCAATCTTTTACATGGGAGGGATTTAGTGAGGCTTAATTTTTAGTACATCTGCACAGAATAGCAGTTGCCAGTCATCCAGTTTGAAGAGATCTCTTCAGTGCCTTTGGCAGTCTGCCTTGGTTCTCATCAGAAATCTTGGCTCCCTCACTGTTCACTCTTAATTTTAGAATTTAATTTACACAATTGAAGATATCCTTGGGAATTCCATTTCTTCCTGATTGTTATCTTATGTGTCAATGTACTCCCATTATTAGTGATTTATTTGGTGAACCACACTTAAACAAACCACGGGCTAGTGTGATATGGTAGGCATTAACTGCTTGGTTTTCTGAAAACATTTTTATAATGTCCTTTCACCAATAACTCCAGTGTAAACCTAGAAAAAACTAGATAAGAGGATGTAGAGCAAAGACATCATTAAAAAGCTTTTTTAAAAAATCCAAATATATGTTGTGGGTTCATACACACCAGGACATGATTTCTTGGACATGGTTCCCTGAAAAACACAATTAGCTTAATTGACATGGTAGACTGATACACTGTTTACACATCATGTTATCTAACTTAAAAAGCCATACTAAACTAGCCATATTAGCAAATTTTGGAATCCCAGACAAGATGAACCAAACTAGATATATTTTGTTTCTTTATATTTTCTAAAAAAAAAAAAAAAAGTCCTGTGAGACAAATAAGTCTTCATTTTTCAAAACAAAACAATTTTTTCATCCAACCTATTTCAGAACTTTATTAATAATGCTTTTCATCAATATACCAGAATATACAATATACAGAACAACTGTGTGTGTGTTTTTTAAAATATATCTCTCCCTTGGCTTTTCTTAAAAAAATCAAATCAGTATTGTAATGGCTACTTTCCAATTCTCACACAAAGGTGCCAATTTCATGGCTAAGATGCATATTTCTGTTAGAAGTTCAGCAGTTTCAAATTAATTTAAGAATGTTTAGGTGGATGTCATACAGATTTCATGAATAGTTATTTTTTAAATTTTGTTTTTATGAATTAGTCAATATTTTCTATATCTGTTTCAGAGTTGGTTCAGCTGCAGTACAGCTTCCTCCATAGCCAATTTCCTGCTTCTAATGTATTTTTTAAAAATAATAACTTACTGCTATTGTTACTGCTTTTTGCAATATGTCTCAATACATTTTTTACCTGCCTTATTATCAATTTATATTTATTTTGCTGGAGTGTGTATTCAATGTTCTTTTTCTGATTTGGACAATTTCTGAAGGAACTCTTTTTGAAGCTGGTTGTTTTCCTGCTGACATTTTCTTTCCTAATCTAATGTACATTCTAAATAGTTGAGCTTTTATTGTAATATTAAACTTTTTCCTCGTTTGTCCGTTTTTTAAAATTTTTTTAAAATTAATCCCGTAATACTTTAAAACCATTTTCTTTTGAAGTCAGTTATGACTTGTCAGATGTTATTGCCAGTATTCCAAAAAAACACATATATGTTATTCCAACCACTTTATTCATTTGTTTGCTTGCTCATTCTTTCATTTCATTCCATTTATATTCTGCCACAATCAATAAGATTCTTGGTAATTTACAAAATTACCAAGGCAAAATCTAAAATATTACCCCACTAAGTTATATAGAAAAAAAGTCCACAATGAATTCCTCAGAATAATAAAATCATGATGAGTAATCACTTTCACAAATGAAAAAAAATGTGAAATAAATGAATGAAAATGTAATCACGTTCATTATACTCATTCATGTTAACTCTACAACAGGCATTGATAGTGTCATTTTCAACTGCAAATATTCTGCAGGAGAATTCAGTTTTTAACATTTTTTTCTAAATGAAACCAGGAAGGGAGGCACTCTGATTTCAACCAGAAGATAAAATAGTGGAGATATTTAAAATATTTAGAAATGTTGCCATTGTTATGACATAAATATGCATTTGCCCGATCTATGTGAGACTAACTCAAGTCACTTATTTTTCTGAGATTTCCTCCTTTGGATGTCTTCCTATTCCTGAATTTCAAGATCAGACTCAACATTTTGCTGATGGAGAAAACAGTACCGTTAAATCACTAGCAATCTGCATGCCTAAAATCATTTACCATTAAAACTAATGCTAAATTTCCTGTTTTGATATGGTTTTTGAAAGTTACTATGTCTTGCTTGTGTCACTGTTGCACTAGAAAGCTACGATAGTGATTCTTTGACCCTATAAGCAGCACAAACAGTATATGGTGTTTGTGTGCTAAAAATTGTCTGAAAGCAAGCAATGAAATTCAATAAGGTCTCCTTATGATCAGTATTTGGATGGGAAAGTACCTGAACTATTCTAAGCTTATTAGAGAGAATCTAATAATAACAAATGTATGATTATACAATAGATATAGCTGCACCCACCCACCCACTCACATGTTCAACAATCACTGAATGCAAACTACGGCCTATGTAGATTGTATAACATTTTACAATTCAGGGAACATGTCAAGGATTTGATGTTTAAACATGCTCAAAGAAGGAAGTCCTGGACTTTGCAGGATGATAGAAAATCTGTAATACTTTGCCTATTGAGTTGGCTGTCTACACAATGCAAAAGTCTTTTAATCTGTTAATCTTCCTCTGTTTCCAAAGCTGAACTCAGAGCAACCCGGAGATGGAGATCTCAGACTGACTGGCAGCAGAAACCGGTCAAACCCAATGGTGCTGGCAGCTAATCCAGAGACACATTGTTCAGCCGAGATCATTTGCACTGAACTGAATTTCCGTCTATTGTTTCAGAAGGGGATACAATGAGGTGTTTGACAGCAGGGAATCAGCTGAGTTACATATTAGCTGCATTCAGCATGCTTGGTTGATGTTTAGCTTAAAGACCATGTGAGTTTTTCCCCCTGATGTGCTGGCTAATGAAATGAATTCTTGGAACACCAGACTGGATAATTGTCTTCTATTACTCATGAATATCTCACAAAGGAAAAGACTCTGATTCCAACGATGGATTTATTTTATCCATGCTGTGGCTTAAAAAAAACCAAGAGACACTGAATAGATTGATACAAATAATTTGTTGTATAGCACATCAATTGGTTGTAGTTCTGCATTCTGCAGCAGGGTTATTTTACCTGAAAGCCTATTTTTTTGCATCTTTTAGTAAGTCAAGTTATACAGAAGTTTGGCTTCCCATGAATAAGTTGCTTAGCTCTTCCTGTCAGGAAAAATAGCTAAACAGACATGGTAGCTGATTCCCATATGTGTTTATCATGACACACAAACAAAGCCAAATTAATAAATAATAAATTAGAAGCCAAAAGCTTGCATCTGACTCTGGCTTGTAAGAAGAATAAGCTACAGTTGCACATCATGACAAACATTATCACAAAGGGAGATTCAATGATTTATTTAGCCACTATTCCAAGCTATAGCAACTTTATGATTATGGTCACTGCATTTACATTTATAAATGTACAAATAAACATGCACAAACATACATATTTCCAGCGCTATAGCTCTAGGCTGCTTAACTGATTAAAGAACAGTTCCATGCTTGCTCCTACTGAGGGATCAGTTAATTAGAGTAGTCAGATCTGAATAGAAGTGAAAGTTGGACTTTGAAGAATATTGATGTTTTTGAATGTCTGTGTTGGAGAAGACTCCAGAGAATACCATGGGCAGCCAGGAAAACAAAAAATGGATAATTGAACAAATCAACCCAGAGTTCTCACTCAAGACACAAATGACCAGGCTCAAATTATTATACTTTGGACATATTACCCAAAGATCCAGGTTTCTGGAAAAGGTTCTAATGCTGGGAAAGATGGAAGGAAAGATAAGAAGAGGAGGACAGCAACAAAGTGAATATTACAGTGCTGCAGGAACAAGTTAGACAGGTCATAATGGAGAAAACGTGTGGCTGACTTGATGGCACATAATCAAACAATACATCACCAGATGTGGACTGCTAATATCCAAATGGTCATGAGATATCAGCAAATAAATACAATTTTGGTATCGCTTTATCATTTGTGCTTGTCTGGATTTTTTTTTTTTTTTTTGCTAGTGGTTCTAAATTACATTATCTAATGATATTTTTCTCATTTTCTAGAAGTTCAGACCAACAATCAAGTAAGCAATACCCCAATCAAGAAACTATCAAAGAGCCTTTTGTAAACAGCCCAACCAAAGAATCACTAAGACCGCCCCCACCTAAACAGATAGGCAAGACAGCAGAATATAAACTGATAGTAAACAGCTCTGCTTACTAGCACTGATGATATTACCTAGTTAGGATAATGAAAGGTCTGCAAGAAAATAAGAAAGCTCAGAGAGCACCAACAGACATAGATATCTTATCCCAGTAGTATACAAAACCGTCTCACAGCAAATCAAACTGTTTGACAAAAGTAGCTTCCCAAGGTCCCCAACACACTATTTTTCTAGCATCCAGTTCCTTTGGAGTTGTTAGCTAGGGATTCAAAGTGGAAACATCTGCTTGCTCACTATGCTATATCTGAAAGCTAACCAAAAGTTATCATAAGATCCATCCAGATTCATGTCATCCCAGCATTAAGATCTGCTTCAGAGGCTTTGCTCACTGCTCTAGTTTTAAGGATGTTTTGGTGAAGTAGTATGAGAACTAGGAAGTTTTTAAGTGATTTCTCCCAGATCATTACAAAGGTTTACTTAAATTTTAAAAAATAACTAAAGTTTTATTTATATCTGTGTTAACTACTGTATATATTGAAATCTTTACTACAGTTTTTAATGCTTGGATTAAATTATTTTTTGAAATAAATCATATTGTCAAGTTTAAATATGTGGATTTGAAATATCTTTGTTTTGAGGGGAGGGATTGTGATTTAAGCCATGCTCTAAATAGGAAGGAATTTCAGATACCAGATAAGCATAAGCTATAAGCTACATTGGCCTTAGACTAAATATACAATTTGGCACAAATGCTAATTTCTTCACATAAAGTAAATATTTGCCTTTATTCCTATGGCTATCATTCCATTTCCAGTTATGTGGTTGCAGTTCTGCCAATATCAACCCACATGGACTGTTTTGTGATTGTGCAGTCCCGCCTTGAATTTTGAAAAAAAAAAGTGATTGTGCTCACTGTATGTGGGTTGGTGGGTTTTTTTTTTTTTTTGGATGTTGTTGTTCGATTCTCAGAGATTACTTGGACAAAGCAAGTTGCAGGATGTACATTTAGAAATAGGTATGCACCACAAAAGCTTGCTACGGATTCCAGTAGAAAACTTGTTCTTTTACCATTATTATTATTATTAATCCTATTTGTGCTTGGAGGAATATTTGCAGAAGCAACACTTATCAACCAGTTTAGGGTAGACCAGTGATGGCAAACCTATGGCACAGGTGCCAGAGGTAGCACTCAGAGCCCTCTCTGTGGGCACACGTGCTGTTGCCCCAGCCTTGCCTCCCCCCACAACCCCCTACTCTCCAGCAGCCCCCCTGAAGGAGAGTTGCCCCCGAGCGTGGCCCACACAGAGGAGTGCAGCCAAGGACACGGCAGCCAGGCAGCATAGACAAGACTTTGCCCTCACCCCCCCATCATGCAGTTGATGCTGCAGGGCGCGGGCAGAGAGTGTGGCAGCCATAGCACTGCTAGGCTGCCTGGGCGATCTGCGGCGGGCCCTGGAGGTGGTGAGTGGTCCTGTGGGGGGGGGAGCGGGGACGGGGCAGGGGGTGAAGCGGGGGCAGGGCCAGTTTTTGGGCATTCAGTCTCTAAAAGATTCGCCATCACTGGGGTAGACCCTCCCTGGAGAGTAATCCAAATTTTGTTCTATCCTTAGCCAAATTTGGCATCTCCTTTCCCAATGTGTGGGTGCTAAAGGGATGAAATTTTGGTGAAAACCCTTTGTTCTGGGACAAGGCAGGTATTGCTATTTTTCTTCTCCACTTTATTTTCAACCTTGAGAATGCAGCTATCTTCTCTTTCTTTCCTCTCCCCCTCCCACCCGTTCCCTGAGCAAAAGATGACGATTTCTCTTGACTTCATTCCAAAAAGGCTGTTTTCTCTTTATTGATGGGGATTGTGCTGTTCATTCTTATCGGAGGAATAGGTTTCAGCTCTGCACTCGTTCCATTAGCTCCGATGTACCGTGGGGAATAAAGCTGCCCATCTCCTTCACTGCCGATTGCTGGCATTAGAGCACTCTCCGAGTTGCTGCCAACTCGGTGATGTCATCCTCAACTGCAATGCGACCTCCCCTCCTGGCCTTGTGCAAAACTCCCTTAATGAGGCGTCTGTGCTCCTGGCTGCTTCCTTGTTAGCACTCAGGAAAACAAAGGGCGTGCTGCACAAACCCATCTTTGCAGGCATTCATCTTTATTGTTGCATACTGACCCAAAGAACCTCTTCTCTCTCCCCCCTCCTCCCCAGACTGATTGAAATTCAACGGGGGGGGGGGAATGCCAGGAGAACAATTTGTCCTTAACTAAACACAGTTTCTTTTTCTCCCTGCTTTCTGCCATCTTCCCCACCTCCCCCAATCTGTGCAGGAGCTGCTCTTAGATTTGCTTCCAAGATTCTCCTTCTGGCAAGGAGAAAAGATTGGGAGGCTGAATTTCTGAACATTAGCTCAGCGTTCCCCTCCCCAGCACAGAGCACCTTTCCGCCATGCAGCCTTTACAATTGACTGCAACAAACCATTGCCAAGCAGCAAGAAATGTTCCCAGATTTTGAGCCTTGGCTGCTCAAACTCAGGTGTATTTGTTTTGTGGGGTGGGGGCAGAGTACACAAATAAAAATAGGTCTTTCCCCCCCTTTTCTTTTTAATGACTGCAATGGATCATTTATTTCAGGAAGACAGTTCAGATTATGGTGCTAATCCACAAGGAAGATAGATGTAGCCCCCCCCCCATTTGAGAAGTCCCTCTATTGCTTCAGGTCCATGAGAAAGAACTAAACTGAATCTGGAATTGCTCAGTCGAGTTAAGTTCCGTGGTGTTTATGTATGTTTGTAATGTATTTGCTTCTTTCTTGTTAATCCTTAAATAGGAAGAGATTATAGGGTTTAGGTACAGACAAAATACAAGGGGGAGGGGAAATGAAAGCAGTACATAAAATTATACTTGATATAGAGAGAGAAGATATGGAGATAATAGCAGAACTTGAGAGCATCCAGTAAAATTAAATAATGGGGGATTCAGGACAAGTCATATGAAAAATTGCTAACAAACCAATTCACTACTGCACAAGAGCCAGTGTGGTGTTGTGATTGGGTTGTTGGAGTAGAAGCAGGATTCAAGTCCATCCTGTCTAGAAGCTCAATAGGTTGCCCTCTTTTATTCCAACCAATCTCGCAGGGTTGATATTGTGGGGAAAAATTGGGGGAGAATCTGCCACATACACTGAAGTGAATTCCTGAATGGAAGGTAGGATATAAATCTAACATCTAAATAAATATGGCAATGTCACCAACTTTGGCCTTTAAAGAGAAGAAGACAAATCCATGTAAGAAAAGGTTATAAGTGGCTATCAAGCTCCTTCTGGAAGAGCAGCAGTAGAAAAATGAAACAATGATTACTCACTGTTACCATGGTTATTTAAATTCAATTAAAGGAAGCAATGGCTTTTAAATGGTA